CTATGATATGAGAAAATGTATTAAGTCATTCAGTCTGCCTCCTCTTCCAGGAGAGAAGCGGTCCCAGTGCTACTTTTTATAACATTTGTTCTGCCTAGCTCTGCCTGACTCAGACAACATAAGCCAAACCCACTTCTTGGGAATCTTCTAATTTTTTATACATATTTGACTTTGTGGAATTTACCCCAGTATTCCACCCAGAACAATTCAACACAATACGTATAAAGACACTGCGATGTCATGATTGTTATCCTGTTGATTTCATAATTATCCCCTTAGGCAACTCTAAATAATTTCTCAGCCAGTGTGGTGGTGATGTCCCTCTAGTATCTGTCTACAGTCATGCTCCTCCCCATTTGAACACATTATAGCTGTGCTCTGCTGTGACTGAGACTTCACAAGCAAATTCTTTCAGATGTTCTCCTGTCTGTTCCTTCCTCTCTGTACTCAAGACATTATTATTATTACACTTGAGAAAAAGGACAAGGAAAAGAAAGAAGGAGAAAGAAATTGAATGGAAAGGCAAAAATGCCTTTTTTTTGTGCTTCCCCAGTTGTGCAGGCACAAAAAGATCCATCCTAAATGGATGGCCCACACATAATTTAAGTTTTACCCCTAGGATTTATGATAAAGGTATTATTTTTATTTCTGCTTACTCTTACATGCCTCATAAATCCTTTTTTTTTTTCAATTATTAGAACATTTGAGTTTTCCATTGTGGTTTGGACAGTTCAGAAAAATGATGCTGCACCTAGAAGAGGTTAAACAGGAAGAGTTTCTGCTCTCACACATCTCAATATCAAGATAATGAACAGAGAACTCCCCCTGAAGGATTTTGTTTCCAGGATCTACTCCCAAGGGATTGTACAAAAAGTGCCACAATCATTTACAGAGGAGAACTGAGTTTAAGAGGATCATTCTGAGATCCCTGTAACATTTGTTTTCTTTGCATATTATCCTTTCTGCTTCAAAAGAAAGAAAAAAACCCATATAAAACACAGTCATTCCCTCATCAAAGCTGCCTTTCAGATATGTGAAGCTTTTCCAAAACACAGAGACTTTGTCGATTGCTGTTTTTTAAAATTACCCTAAAATGGACTTCAAAGTGGTAGAGGAACATGTACAGACACTTTAAAATTTTAAAAATATTTACAGTTTAAGAAATATCTGTCACTTTTTTTTAATTTTTACAATCTGACCAAATCATAATTTTTTTCAGCATTTGAAGTCTCTAACATGTAAAGCAGAACAGCAAAAACATTAACATACCACAGCTTATTTTATGTATTAAAAATTTCATCAACTGTTGCATACAATCATCTCTGAATAAAGCTCTGAAATACACAGAGCTACAAGTCCTACCACAGCCAGACTAAGCTGCTCTTTACACAAGGTTCTCCTGGGGTAAATTCCCACCCTGGAAGCAGCTTAAATTCATGACGCTATTCACTAAGTGATGATTATTCTAATTTTACTCCAGGGGAAACAAAGGCAAGTAAGACAAAGCATTTGTCTAAAACCATAGAGCAACTCAGGTGCATTTCACTGACCTGAGTAAACTCAGCATGTTGTTTTAGTAAGTAGATTAAACTCTTTCCACATTAGGGGAAACTTTTTTCAAGTTATTACTTTTCTGAGCAGAGGACATACATTTCAATACACTGGTACCTTTGACAGAAAGCAAGACTGCGGGTTTTTTACCTTCCAGTATTATGAAGTGTGGCAGCATGCAAGTGAACTTCTGCCTGTCTGCAGGACTTCCAATAGGAAGAGGTTCTGGCAATAGCTGCATTCCCTGTAGGATATATACAGCAACTGGGTCAGCCTGTTTACAAAACAGCTTGTGATCATCACGGCAGCGCTCAGCAGCTATGAATATATCATACCAGAGTCTAATTAAAGACAGACACAGTTAAAGCACTGCAAAATAAGGAAGCAGTGGCACTTAATAAAAGTGTTCAGGACTGGGAGGAGGCTGGGGTTTTTACTCTCAGTACTTTGAAGGTCAGCTAACCAGGTTTATTCCGATCGAGAATTAAAACATCCATCTAAACATCTGCCGAAGACAGTCAGCTCATACCCCCGGGAGAAGAGTGAAATTTGTAACAAGATGCAGCAGTTTGAATGGTGAAAAGAATCATTGTAAGGGGAAAGCCAAAAATAAACATTAATTGAACTTGGGTATTTGTGCAGAAAATGGATATGTCACTATACCAATAGCTGTACAAAGTGTGTTACTATCCTTGCCCTTCAGAACACGGCTGGAACTCTACTTTCTCTCCTAAATATACATACTGTGTTAATACCTGGTTAATCCCTGGTGTGATGTGTCAGGACTGACTCCTAATTTGTCTAGACTCTGATTTTGATGCACAAAAAGTAGTCTTTGTCAGGCAATGTCTATTCCTAAATGACAGAGCACAGATTAGAAAGGAGCAGGAAAGTGCCTATTTCTATCCCAGCTATGGAGAGGAGAAGGCTGTATTTTCTGGAACAAAATAGTTATGCTAATGCTCCCAGCAAGCAATGGATTATCCCAACACTAGGATATACTCCAATAATGGCTGAGTCATTGTTATTTTATGGTGAAGTCTCAGGCAAGGGAAAACAGCCATTTTTGAGAAGACCAAGTTGTAGCAGATGAGTACTACAGAAAAAAGATACGAAAAATTAGGCAGGGGAACCTCTCTTGTACTTATACTACTCTTCCAGAAAGGCTGTGTTTTTCTTTTACTCCATCCACTTTGCTTTTGTAAAACTGCAGAGAAAAGATGAAAATCAACAATCCAGTCCATTTGTTTCACATCTGCTTACTTCACAGGCACTTTCTCTCCCTTTTTGGATATGCTGTGGTAAATAACTTCCCAAAGTATGTTCCCAGAGCAATGCTTTGACTAGAGCAGGTTTGCTCTGGCAAGTTGCAGAGAAAGTGGGGTCATTATAGCTGAGTACCCAAGCAAGCCGTTCACTTTCCTGTTCATGATATCCGTAATAGCTGGGTGGCTTGGAGTAAGCAAGGAAGAACAGATCCACCTCCCAAGCCTAATTATCTAATACTACACTGCTGAGTCCATATCTGTGTCCAGCAAGATGACACACTAAGGTACATAATACCAGTAGATACTCAGTCCTTTAGTAGGCTAAATGTGGATTCCAAAGCACAGCCATGGCCAATCACACTAAGTATTTTATATATTGTTATATGTATACTCAGAACCAGGTCTCCCTCCATACACAAAGCTTAAGACCATGCATACTTTACCAGAGTAGAACCATAATTCCCTTTTTGATGCACGCACCGCTTTTGGTCTCTTGCATGTTTATAGCATGAGAGCTTCGAGTGTTTCACAGGAACAGAAGAGATGCTGTTGATTTTTCATCAGAGTTAAACAGCAGGGAAGACATTTCTATTGATCTGGGAGTTAATTTTAGAGGACATCAAGAGCTGTGCAGAGCTGCTGCAGTAGGTCTGCTGAAGAGGCTCAGAACTGGTCTTTCTCTCCATCAAAACAGGCAAATAAGCAACTTCACCTCTCACACCTATAGTGAGAAAGAGTGTCAGGCAGCAGCAACCTTTCTACTTGGATAATTCCCTTTCCTACCTAGTAAGTGCCTCCATGCTACTCTTCTTTCTGAAGGGAAATTCAAAGGAACCAGACAGCTTCCCCTCAGCTGCATGCACATGTCCCACGAACCAAGGACTTCTCAGAGGGCCCAGCACAGGCTCTGGATACTTCACTACCAGACAGGTCACAACCCACAGACAACACATAATACTGAAATGCCACAAGCCCATTAGAGTTGAGCAAAAGTTCTAAGTCACCAAAAGGATTTTAAATTAGAATAAGAGAGAAACTCACCACTACAGTACAGAGCAGATACATATTTTGAATTAACTTCTATAGCATTTTGTGACTGGTAAGAACTCAGGTGCTTCTTCCACAACACTTCAAATTTCCTAAAATCAGCATGTCTTAGAGCCTGGAAAAGCAGGTAACACTCAGTAAGGATATGGAACAAGAACTACATAGCTGATCAGAAACACCTTTAACAGAATCAGCACTTCCATTAATAACCTTGGTGAAGTCAAGCTGTTGAGCTGTTACAAATTTATATAGATCCACCAATTTCAATGCTCAGATACCTTCAAATACACTTAAATTTGAACAACTAAACAAATTAAACTATTTCGTTTAGAAATGTCAGTAGGTTTAGTACTGAGCCCTACTTCAGAATGCCTCTGTACACAAAACCAAGCAACTGTGCTCCAACTTTCTGCTTCAGTCACTCTACATCTTCCATAGCTCTCCTCTACTGCCTCTAGGATGTTCCTCTACACTTATGTCATCTGAAAAATTAAAAGATGCTCTTTCAGGGCACACACAGGCAAGATGCACACATAGTCAGGCAGAGCAGCACAGCTGCATTCTGTACTTTCTATTCCCTGGCAGGGGCTGACAGGTAAGAATCGTAGATGTATACAATCATTAATATTAGCAACACTGAAGAAGCCTTGTGACAAAACCCCATAGTGAATGCTAACAAAAGTGTTCATCATCTTAGGTAGTATTTCATGCATGTCTTCCAGGCAATCAGGGTAAGTTTCCTGTAATAAAATTATTTTAAATTTCATTATTGCATGTAATAATTCCATTATTTATGGATTTAGTTATTTAATTATTACTTAATATTTCAGCCTCTTCTGTTGCAGCAGCTAATCGTTCAGGAAACAATGTAAATGCTGTGGGCAGGCAATGGAGTGGGAAGTATTGCCCAGTGAAAAATGCAGAATAACAAACTCTAACAGCAACTTAAAAAAAAATATAGCTAAAGCTACCTGAAGTGAAACTTATTAAAACAGGCAAGTTTGACAAGGAGCAGTAGAAGCAGGAATACTTATTTTTTTGTGGCCACAGTGTTGATACTAATAGAAGAAAGTAAAACAGAGAATGAGAAGCAAACAGATTTCCAGATCAAGAAAAACTGAAACAGCTACGGGTGGTGTCAAGAAAAACACTGAGTACTTTTTTTTTTTTATTACTGTTTTTATTACTTGGGTAAGAGAGGGCTCTGACAAAATAATGTGCTACAATATACAGTATATTTAAAGCACAGAAACTCAAACCCAATAAAACTTCAGAGACCCAACTGCATTTCCAGGGTGGAGTCCACTATTTCACAGTGTGTTTCTTGTGCCCCACACGCAGCTCACATGCCAAACCCTCTCCAGCTGTTCTCCAGCATTTCCAGAGTAGATAATTATATTGTTCAAATAGAACTATTTCTTTTTGAGAGCTCTCTTTCCTTCCCCCTTCTTTGGTTTTTCCTTCCCACGGAGCTTTTTCAGTCGCCTCATCTCCTCCTTAAAGTCTTGATGCTCATCCCTAGATCAGGAGGAAAGGGATGAAGGGAAGGGAAAAAAGTTTACTCTGTTTCTTAAAGTATGTGATAATGAAAAAAACCCTTTTTTTTAACCATGAAGTCCATACTGAAACTCACTGCAATGTATTCCTTATTACTGCTACAGTATCACTGAAAAATAACAAGAGATTTCCTCTGGTACTTTCAGAACTAACAAGGTTGCCCGTTTCAGCAAAAAATGGTGTGTGCATATTTGTATTATTTCAATTGCATTTATTGATCCATTGTGCTTAAATGAGCAGTAAAATGTAAAAATCAGCAAGAGACAAGAATGAGATTCCCCCCTTCTCATCTGGCCCAGCAGTCTAGCAAAAGCACATTGTGTTCCTGTGCTAGATACTAAGTTCAGGTCATTAGCTTCTAAGGAAACAGGGGCATGCTTAGCAGTAATTACAGCCCATGACACTGCTCTCAGGAGACTTCAAGAATGAGTTATGAAGAAAGCATGAGTAGTGGTAGAATCTTAACAGGAGAATAAAATAGGAAGGAGGATGAAGGGGTTGGTAGAGATAATTAATCCTCAATAATGATCTAATAAATTTGATTAATCTCTGTCCCTGTATTTTTCAGTGCAAAGCAATTTTCAAAAGCCATAACTGCATCCTACTTGGCCTAAGGTTGCTGTACTGCTATTTTTCTACACAACTTCTCTAAATAGTACCAAAAAGCTTGTGATTTATTATCAGGCCCTGTTAGTCTGTGACTCTTCATTACATATTTCTGAGCTGCAAGCCTGACCCTCCACAAGCTCTCTGTACACAGAGCAACTAGAGAAGGAATTTGAGATTAACAGGGGAAGAGTAAGGAACATGGACATGTCATCGAGGCTTTCTGTGTAAGCAAACATCTACTCTAGAAAATGTTTGCACACCCACCTAAACTAAGAGCATCCTGGACACAATCCTTGATGGCTCGTATTGTGATACTACCAATAGAAATTAATCTAGTTTGACCTCTCATAGGGTTGGCAGCCTCCCTTTTTTAAAGGATTTCTTTAGTGCTACCTGATTGAAGTGAAAGAAATGCATTTGACTCCTGCTGATGTTCTTCAGTAGTGCAAATTTTTTCTGCTCGAGACTGGAAATTCACATGGAAATTAGACAACTGGTTTGGATGAAGCTGGAATTAACAAGGCTATTTAAATGACATTTGAATTTAATTTAACCTCATTTATTTTAAAGGATGAAAAGGCCCTCTGGCCTAACATAGACTTTCCTTCTCTTCTACATTTCACTTATTAGCTGTTGAATGATTGAGAAATATATCATAAGACTGACTCAGGGCAATTTTGGCATTAACATCACCTCTTTGTAGCACATGCATTTGCCATATTCAGAACTACAGCCCCACCTCCTGTCTATGAGAAAGTTCTCTTCCCTTCCCCACAAAGCCAAAGCAGGAACTATTTCTTATGTAACTGCTTGCCCAAAACTATACCTAAAGTCTTTTTCACAAAAGGTTCCAATTATGGCAAAAGTTAGACAGCAGTCACTTATTTCATGCTCCTTGCCCTCAGTGCAACAATCGAGTGTGCATTTCCATATGCACCATATTCATAACTAAAACTTTTTCCTCTTTCCCTTGAGGAAAACGACTGTAAGCGGACTCACACCCACCCCTTTCCCATCTCCAGTCCTGCTCCCAACCCTAAACGCCCAGAGAGTACCTGTAGAGACCAAAGTAACGGAGTTTCTTCATGAGGGCGTAGTAGGTGTTGTGAGGAGGGTACCAGCTGTGCACCTCCTTCCTCTTGGCCAAGGGCTGCTCACTGAACAACTTCACCACCTTCATAGATTTTGAGTCAGTTGGCCTGACAACATCTCCGAATATCTGAGCACTCAGCCGGGCCATTCGGAGGGCGTAACTGGAAACACTGGACATGTCTCAAGGAAGAGTGGGCACACATAGACAGACAGATGGACTTTCCTGCAAAAGGAAACACAAGAGAGCCACAACTCTAAGATGGTTGAGCATCACAGGCTATCCCAGAATTAAGGCAGATGAAACAACGCATCGTACACTGATCACATGTTTGAAGTCTCACCTTCCTCGCATGAAATCAGTCTAATCCTTAGTACATAGTTTTGCACACACAGAACATCAACACCAATTCAGGTACAATTACCAGCCTAACTAGGACACTACACTATTGCTGTCTATAGAGAGCAATACTGGCTATAAAAGTACCTTCACTGAAGCACAATTTACCATGGCCAATTTATTAGCAGATGCCACTTGGCTTGCTCAAGACTACCTTTAAACTCCCGTCACAGGAACAATTACAGTGTGAGCTCTGCCAAAAATAGCACCTGCTGCAATACTGCTGACTTCTACACAAGCACCAGGTAAGACACCATTTGAACATATTGAGGAAGCAATCTGGAAGTTTTGCTCATGAAAATTTCTCACCCAACTTAAAACACTGTTATAATCTGTCTAACAAGAATGGCCAACCAACTGTAAAAATAATCATGTTTCTCTATATGAATCACACAGATCCTTCCCATCTCAATTCTCTTCCCTTAATCACCTATGTCACCTTTTTCTTCATTCTCTTTTTAGTCTCCCACAATAGCCATTCTTTTTGAGAGGAAAAAAACTTCCCTGTGCTAGATTCTTTTTTCCAAGAAAATTCATCAGCAGCTTCCCATTCTCTTTTAGCCATCTCCCTCCTAAAGACCTCTGCAACAAAAATGCCTTGAAGACAAAACCATTGTTATCAGGCCACCAGAAACAACATCCATGCTCTTAAAGGAGCATGAAGAAGGGTTTTCTCTCAGCTTTTCTAATCCTCCCCACTTTTCCACTTCTTTACATCTTTACTCTTCCTTTGCAAAATGGGTTGTAATAGACAAGAATGGGAATCCCATAATTCTGTATTTGAAGCTGTATGTGGCCTGTACTGTGCCTTTTTGAATAAGTGATGACATAAGTCTCCAGAGACATAAAGTGAGGTTTAAGTGCACTACACTGAGGTTAAAGTTTAAAATTCTCGTTTTAAGTATTGCACAGCTGATTCCAGATGAGTGTAGAAAATTAAAGAGCATGGATAAGAGTAATCAGAAGGACAGTGCTAAGTCCATTTCAGCATGATTACATGGAGCCTGTTGTTTAATAATGCAAATTAGAAGTATTCATAACCTCACTTACATACATTTGCCCACTGCAGGACCTGATGTACAACTGTCTGCTTTGATTTACTCCTGTGAGTAGAGCTCTATAAAAGGAAGCAGGAAAAAAACGAAGCACGTAATTACAAGTAACCTGAGTCTGAGAGAGAAATGGAAAAATTAACAAAAAGGAAGGCTAAGTATCAGAGACCTCAAGCCAAGGCAGCAGGCCTAGTGTGAGAAGGCAGAAGCTCTTCAGTGACTGCAGGGCAGCACTTCCACCTGAGCATCTATTACGTGGGGCAATGATCAGGAAGTCGTGCTAAGCCATCCACTTCAGAACAGCCAAACCTAATTCCTACATTCAGAGACAAAGCAACCAATTTTCCCCCAAAATCTTCATCACATCACTCTGAAAGTATCAATAGACTCAAGTCAAACAACAAAGCTTGCTTAAATCTCTTCTTACTGCAGCTTTAAAATGAAAGCACCTTTAGCTCCTAAACGATGCAAACCTGTGGTTTGATGAATCTGATTTTCACTTTAGAATCGCTAAAGGAATCTAAACAGCCCAAGCCAACGCTAGAGACCTCCACTAATCCTCACCAGACTAAGAATGTTTGAGAGAGAAGAAAGGCAAAGACTACAAACTCCCAAGAGCCAGAGCCATCCAAAGCCTGGTTTAGGGCGATCTCTGATTCTGTGAGATGTGACAGAACAGTCTTGTTACTGCCACTTCCAGCGAGGACATTTTCAGGATCGCCCACTGGTAATTAACACACCTAAACGAAAACCAAAACCAAAACCAGCCTCCAGCGCTGCCGCTCCACCTCCTCCCCGCTCCTTACTCCCACTCAAAGCAAGCTTTCCCGCCCTAAGATGTTTGTTTGTATTTCCCGATCCACCAGCTTGTCTCACACAGCTTCCTTCTCACTCGGAACACAGGAGGAAAACTTTCCGTTTTCAGAGTGACTCCTGATTTTAACCACGAGCACACCGGGAAGAGAAGGCCGCCCCGGGGCACGGAGGTCACCGGAGGCAGGCGCGGCGCATCCTCCAGCCCGAGCCGGCCCCGCTTCCCTCCGGCAGGGCAGCTCCCGGGGACACAACCCCGCACTACCCGGGGCCCATGTCCCCCTTTCCCGGCCCTGGCCCCGCTCACCCGGCAGCGCCCGGGCGGACCCGCGGCCGGCGCGGAGCGATGATGCCGAGGGGGCGGTCGGTGATGCCGAGGGGGCGGTCGGTGATGCCGAGGGGGCGGTCGGTGATGCCGGAGGGGCGGTCGGTGATGCCGAGGGGGCGGTCGGTGATGCCGAGGGGGCGGTCGGTGATGCCGAGGGGGCGGTCGGTGATGCCGGAGTGCGGCGCGGGCGGGTGACGAGCGGGGAGAGGCGGGATCGTCCCCGCCCCGGTCCCGCCTGCACGGGCGGACCTGCCTTCTCCTTCCCCAAAACGAGTGGCGGCTTGTCAGGTGCCGAGCCCCGTTGTCATAGAATCATAGAATATCCTGAGTTGGAAGAGACCCACAAGGACCGTCCCGTCCAACTCCTGGCTCCCCACAGGACAACCCAAACTATCACCCCTTAAGAGAGTTACGCTCTCCTGTGTTAACAGGCATCTGCAAATATCGTCAGGAACGTTTTCGTTGTGCCTTCCTCTCTTTTCCTTTTTCCTGTTATAAGCACCTTTGGAGTTATATGCTTAAATCTAATCGTGAAATTAGCAGATATTCTCATTAGACGCTGATGACAAATCTACATAGAACCTTATTCTTTCCTTTTGCTACTACATACAGTCTTATTCTTTCCTTTTGCCAGTGAAGGTTGGTGTGAGAAGATGTCCACACAGTCAGCAGTCTTGCTCGGTGAGAATGTCTGCCTGGGTTAATATAACAAAAACAAGTTGGTTTTACTCTTGGGAAAAGTTATGAGTTTACACAAAGAGCTGAAAGCCAGGTGTCTTCACTCACAGCCTTGACCAGACTGTGAACTGGGACAACTGTTGTCAAAATCTAGTTTTACTGAAAGGTGATGAAAGGAAGAGTTTGGGAGCCACAAATGTTTCCCTGTCATTCATTGTGTCTCCAAACCACATAGAGAAATTGCTTCTCTACTCACAAGTTAGGGTGCCTTTCTCCTGTGCTCCTCGCCAGTCCTTAGCCTCATAACTTTCGCTTCCCTCTGCCTGCTTTTTTTCAAGGATGGATATTCAGCTGCTTATGTATATGTGCTTTGGCAAATCCACCTGCACAATCTCAGTCTTTCAGCACAAGTGTCATCTTGGTCTCTGGCCACTAACCCTTGTGCCCCCAAACCTGGAGTGGAGCAGGGTGTGTGCCCAGGGGGAGCCCCTGAGAGGTGGGGCTGGGCACCTGACCCTGCTAACGCTTCCCCCCAACACCCCTTTGGCCACTGCCAGTCCCGCTTCCTGTGAGCTTTCCCAGTGCTCGATTTATGCTAATTTTTAATCAGTGCCAGGAGATGCTAAATCAGACCCTGTGCAAACATCTGACTAAATGACAATTATGTGATTGCATTTACACGCCAAACGTGTAATGCCGTTGAAGGAGGAAATTGGATTTGTCTGCCTGGGCCTGTTTTCTAGAAGAGCAGATTCTGCTCAGCTTTGAAGACGTTATTCCATCATCCTTCCTTGATTAATTTTCTGTCATCTTTTCCGTGCTTGTCACGAGCAGAGCAGCCTCATGGCCTGGGCACCCTGGTCACCTTTCTTGTCCTTTTTGAATATTGGCATGATCCTCTGCAATTTCCTTTATATTCCTGATCTAGTGGAAGGGTGTCCCTGCCCACGGGAGAGAGGAGTTGGAACTAGGTGATCTTTAAGGTCCCTTCCAAACCAAACCTTTCTATGATTATTAAGAATTAACATTTATGGAATTTCTTTAGCCAGTTATTCAAAGACTGTCATATAAAAGTTCTCTAGATATCCTAATTTTAAAATGTTAGCTCTAGTAGAAATTGCTTTCTATTTTCATTACTGACTAATGGACTGAAAAGTGCTTCTTTCCTTTCTTTTTCTTACTAGATAAGAAAAGTGCCTCTTTTTAAGAAGGGAATATAAGTTTTTAACATTTCTGCCACTTCTATGCTGTTTTACCATCTCTATTTAGACATACGCCTTGGCACTGTTGCACTCTCCATTTTACTGTCTATAATCACATTTCTGTAGTCTTCATTTTTTTGTATGAACAGAACATTTTTTCCTGATATTTTTGCCTTTCCATGTTGTTCTATACTATGCTTTTAGCTTCTGAGTGTTTCCTTTACCCTACTGCTGAGACAAAATTGTCCTTCAGCCAAATTTGGCCATTTTGTTAATTAAGCAATCATGACTTTGTGGAGTAAGATCATATGTACTCTCATTTACATTTCTACCTCTATTTTTGAATCGTAATTTTCTCATCATTTCTCCCACCATGATGGGGATAATCTTTCTGAAGCATCTCTGTGTGTGAGTCAGTCCCTGACTGGGACTGTCCTTTTTCCTTCTTATACCAACTGTCCTTGTTATAATCAAATTATGACAGCTGACTCCTAAGCAACCACCACTTTTTTGTTCCATGATTAAGTAGTTTAAACATTTTGAGTTCAAAAATACTTCTTCCATGTAGACTGGAATAACTTCTGTCATGGAAAATAAGTTTTAGAAAATCTGATGAGACATGGCTGCTGGCTATTTGGGGCATTTTCCTCACACAGTTCCAAACACTTTTTGTACATTGGAGGGATAAGCAGCCTGATTCTCTGCAGCCATCCCTGCTCCATTCCACCCCTCCTCAATAGCATTAATTGGAACAAGTTACTGTCTGCATCTCTAAAATAGTGATGGTGGTTTCATATGTACTGTTACCTTCTCAATCTTCAAATTTCTTTATTTGTTTAAAAGGATTGGGGCAAAATGTTATAAGATTCCATTTTACCTTTTCCAGTAATTACATCAGTTTAAGCTCGTTTCACCTCATCAATGAAAATATCCAGTCTTCTTGCATGTTTCCCAAACTTTGAAAATTGGCATATAGACCACTGGAGAGCATCTTCCTCTTTCTCTCAAAGCAGGATTCTGGTTCCATGTCAGTTTTTTGGTGTTTGTTTTTTGTTTGTTTGGGTTTTTTGTTTGTTTTTTTCAGCTTTATCACCCTGGGGTCTGATTGCCTGAGTTACTCTGCTGAGTTTCAGGGCAGAGACATTTAGTGGATTAGGTTGGTGTGAGAATTACAGCTGTTCCTGATCAGAAGAGTAGGCAAACTGACTTTCTCCCTCATAGTTACACATCATGGGTCAGGATCAGTAGGAAGGAATCACAGAATCATTTAGATTGTAAAAGATCTCTAAGTCACAATACAAAGATTTTCTCTTCAGAGACCCAGTGTTGCTGCCTATACATTCAGGCTCCAGCGTGGCTCTTCTGGAGTGATGGAAGCACACGTATGAACAGGTCTCCATTGGTTAACTTCTGCCGTTTTTACTCTGAAATCAGTTGTTTCTGCTATCAGACATTGCTGTTATTAAATCAAAGTAAAAATGTGCACTCACAAGAGCCTATTTCTGTTACTATATCACTGTTGTTGCTGTGGTTATGAGAAGAATTGCTTGCAGAGCACCCAGCCAGGGTTAGCGTGCCAGTAAGGCAGCTTACAGACACTCAGGATGGAATATCAAGGTCACAACAGTCAACAAAGTGACAACACACTGCAAATTTGCAGAGGCAGAGCATGGTCTATTTTGCAATCCATGTAGCCAAAATGTTCTTTCTCACCTCATCTGGAACACTGTCTCCCTATATTCTGCCAGGGAGTTCAAGCTCACAGGGTGATGTGGTTCACCATGGAGGACACTGCCCAAGTCACTCTCCCTGAGATGATGCTCATGGTGAGAACAGGTTAGACAGGCCATTCTGGCTGCCTGGCAGTGCTGTCACGTGCATCCCTGGGAGCAATTACCATCAGAGATGTGTATACTCGTGGCTGCACTCCTGGTTTAGTTTGCTAGTGCTTAACATTCAGGTCAGTGGCTGAACTGCTCTCTCTTCTTCCAGGGAATGGAAGGAAGCAGCAGAAGCTGGCAACAGGAATGGGATTGTGACGAGCTGAATTCTATGGACGTGTCGTTAGATCCTCCTGAGCTTTTTGCTGTAAACAGAGCAAAGTGTTTGGACGTTTTAGCAATTATTTAGAAGAAAATCAGTGACAGACTGGTGAGTGAAAAAGGTGAAACCCTAAAATAAAAGTCAAAAGACAGTGAATTGACATGATGCTAGAAGACAACATGGGCATTCTCTGCACAGGGACTGTTGTGACGGAAAGACATGAGGGGAATGGAGAGACATTCATGAAGCACATGAATGCAAAGCAGCAAGAAAAAAGAGAAAGAGACCTCTTGATAAACTACAAGAAAGACCTTTTCACAAATAGTTGGCAGATTTTTGGTCTGGAATTATTTTATTTGATCAATAATGATCTGGAATTAATTATCTGACCAATTCCTCTTGTGTATGTATTTTAGTTTTAACTGAATGTTAAACGGCTTTGAGGCAAAATTTTGACAAAATCTGACACTTGAGCCACTGTAAGTTTGTCCTGAGAAGGCAAAGGTATACCCAGAAAGAAAGATCAGGGTGCCAGTTTGCTCATTGGTGCTTGTTTATTGACATTTACAAGGAAAAAGAGTCTGAACTTGTATCAGTTGATCTTGGAAACGAGGCACTTGAGTAGTTCCTGTATGACACAGTGATAGACTTCACTCCTAAGTCTTATTCTCAGAACTATCAAGCTGTAAGATGATCTCTAACATTTTCTTCTTATAAATATTGACATGAGGGAATAAAATCATCTTCAACTGAGTGAAGTCGAAAGACCCTCTGAGCATTTGGTAAAACGGCATTGGCTACATATGTGTTTAGAAATCATTTGTTATTCATTCTTTATGTGATCACGATTAATTGGCAGACTTTAATTGTATTTTTGTTGTGCAGCGATTCATGCTGAGCCACGGAGACAACTGCAGTGCAAAACCCTCTGGAGAGAATGTGTAGTATTAAGAGACTGACAGACTTTGGGTGGGCATTTGAAGGATATTTTGACTTTAAAATGACTCGTCAAACTAATGCCACAGAGTGAAATCTACAAAGATGTAGCTATTAAATACTGCCGCTCCAGCTATCTAACGCTGGAAACACTCGGGAGGGAGATGCAGCATTAAAGAAGAATAGAAATTATTTTTCAAAGCCAGTTGGCATCTTGAGCTTATTGCTTTCCCCAACAGCCAGGCTGTTGAGGCAGCCTTCCTGCCTCCTGGGGAAAGGGAGAAAGTGCTATTCCTCTTTCACACAACGCTCTCGGACTGATGCCTGAAACTGTATTGACAGTTCTCCATTTTTAATGGGAGATGAGCTGCTCAGCATAGCAGGGGGTGCACGAAGCTGAACAGGCAAGTGATGGAGGATGCTGCAGATCTCCACACATTTACATGTTTGTCATTAAGACTGACTAATTTGTAGTTCAACAATATGTCAGAATAAATGATCAGTGATAGATTTAAATGAAGTACTTAAGACTGAAGAGAAGGAATACTTCTTAGTGGTTAGGTCAAGGGACTGGGAATGAGAATTGTTGAATCTTGGGTTTTTTGCAGCTCCATTACTAACTCACTGGATGACCTTAAGCAAGTTAATTAACCTACCTGCCATTTCATCCCTCTGTAAACTGGGGATAATAATGTCTGCTTCAGAAATGCTTTGTGAAGTATAATTGATTCTTAGAAAATGCTTCAGCTTCCCCTAGTGAAAAACATACTACAGAAGTCAAGTATTGTTGTTACTTTACCAACAACATGCACATAAAACTTTTAAAGGCAACAGTAACAAAGACACATCTGTCTTGGCTGGAAAAAAGTATTGCCGGGGGATGAAGGGGGGAGGAAAAAAAGGAAAAATATTAAAATAACAGAATCAGCGGAAAGTGAAGAAATAATGGAGACATCTGTCTCACTGCTGATAAAAGCTCCTGTAGTTTCTCTTCCATCATTCCCTGCAGCATTCATCCGAAAGGACATCCACCAAAGTTTTCAAATGGGGTCAAACCAGCTGTTTATCTCTAACTCTATTTGGCCAAGTGTAAAAACGAAGTACAAATAAAAATGGTCCAGCAATAGACTTTTCAGAACAACGTAATTCTCTTAAACAGAAAATCCAAGGAGATTCTGTTTGGGTCTGTTTGAGTTCACATTCCTGTTTCTTCCAAGTGAACTCTTTTCAAGATGCTGTCTCAGATATAGACCTCTTGGGTTTGCGAGCTGTTGGCTTCCCGGAGTTTCAGCAGACTTTGGTACTATATATCCCTGTTGATTTCTATGGTGCATTCCAATGGAGATTTCCCTCCATGTTTTCCTGGTTTAGGTGCCTTCTTGTCTTAGGGTATCTTAACCAATGCTGAGCACAGGATAAATCATCAGGTCTTTGGGAGCACTCTGGATAGCCACTCTGACCATGTCGATTTGTAAGTCAGCAGATTTTCTGAGATCTGGCTGGACTTCCAGGTTCCCAGTAATTTCAGCAATGCTCTTTGTAGAGCTAAACATCATTGATCAACCTTTCCCCCTCATACAGTCTTTTGAAGGCAGAGTCGTGGAAACAGATAATTTTTTTGGTTTTAGTTTGGAGTTCTTCAGTCCTGGTGGGTGACATGAAGCTGCTGTCAATTATGTCAGGGTAGCCCAGTCTGTACTTACATCCAGGTGCAGAATCCAGCACTTCCCCTTGTTGAACTTCATATGGTTGGTGATTGCCCAGCCCTCTCAATTTTCGAGGTCTCTCTGCAGGGCCCCCCTGCCTTTGAGGGAGTCAACAGCTCCTCTGAGTTTTGTGTCATCTGCAAACTTGCTCAGTATCCCTTCCAGTGTTGACAGAAGAAGAAGAACAGTCCTTAAGCAGCTGCTCCCTTCTCTTACAAAATGAGCACTGGTAGCATGAAATGTATAGATTTTTTTTCCTTCTCTTTGTTTCATTCTTGGTTAAGACTAACAAACCAATGGCAATTGCATAGAAACCAGGTCTTCTTGCTTAGGCATTCAGTTCTTCCTGCTGTGTGTGTCCCATCTGGAGCTCTAATCCTTTTTTTGTGATCTAATCAAATCCTCAACTACAAGTTGTGATTTCACAGTGATAAAGCTTGAGGTGGGGAAATGAACTGCACAAATGGATGAATTCTGAAGAACCAACTACTTTATTTGGATGCAAATATACTTGGAGATAATAAATGAAGAGAAGTAAATGCAAAACTGTTTAGGATAGAAGCATACTTGTGTCTAAATAGAGAGTTTATCATCCTAGATGTCAGCTGCTATTACAGAGGCACACAATATGTATGTATACAATTTTTTTTTTTTTAAATTTAAATTAATCTGCTCTGCTGGGACTTCACAGCCAAATGAAATAGACGAAGACTGAGGTCTTCTGAGTCATGTTCCAAAATGAAGCAGTCCTTGTAGAGAATACAGTTTTTCTAAGCAGGTGCTATTTTTGATTTTGCTTATTGGTTTTCTTTCCAGTTCATTACATCATGATTTCTTATCATCTATGAATTCTGATTTTTAACTAATCCTTTTTTTTCTTTTGTGACTAAAAGAAGCAACCAATTGAACTGGCAGCTGGGATCCAGTCATGGATGTGATACACTCACTACAAAACACCATGTTATCGGTCTACAGAGACTGCGGCTCTGTCTTTCAGTGATTAGTTCACATAGCACTGCTGATAGAAACCATGTCCAAAAGTCTTTCAGGGAGTGAACAACATGTTCTGGAATCTGTCAGAAGTTTAGGTAAGGTTGTACAGTGTGACTTGCCACGTCAACCAAAGTAACAGTGCTGCAGATATTAGACTGCCTATATGAACTACATATCGATGCAGTACAGCAAAATCAGAATTATTCAGGCTTTAATATATTGAAGATCAATGTGTTAGATGTAGCTTTTAGAATAAAAGTCACTTCTTACCAAATATGTTTATTATTGGCAGCCAGAAGTCTGAGTTTTTGCTCTCAGTCATTACTCTTTGGCCCTAATATCTCATCTCTGCCATCCTGGATTCTACTTGCTATTTCTATAAAAGTCACAAGATCTATGAATTTTAATGAAGTAATATCTCCTGTTTTCAGCTGAGCCCAATGACGGTGATGTTGGAGGGCCATCTTCCTTTTGTAGCTGGCTTTAGGCAGCAAGTAACCTTGCTATACAACTCCTGCATTCAGAGCAATGTCACCTTCATCACTGCAGCAGGCAACGGGTTTTTCCTGCAGCAGGATTTAGGGTAGGAGGCTGGGCTTGATGCATCCATGAGGTAAACTGGGGGAAGTACAGAGGGGCTTGTATGAAATAGCAGTCCTCTTAGCAAGGCTTTTGGGAAAACAGGTCTGTTCCTGTGAAACCTAGTCCAGCTCAGAGGAGAAGAAGCTGTAGAATATGAAGATGTTGACTTCCAAGCTGGCAAGACAATAAGCAGGACACAACAGAGTGGCTGCTGTGATCACAGAGTGCATCACATTGGAGCTGAATCTCTGCTTGTGAGAGCCAGGGCTAAGATGTGTTTTCTCTTGTAGGGAGATGAATTTGAAAGAGCCCTGAGGGCTAAATATTGCCCTTGTGCTTTGGCTGAGTTGTCTCCAAGCAAAACTTTCTCTCTCAGTAGAGGCTTACACATGCACAGCTTAGGTCTTTTCTTTTTCTTAAATCTCTTCTTGTTGCTCCTCGGGCATTGGAAGCACTTGAGTGTTTACTCAGAACTCAAGAGACAGGGACAGGGCTGGCTCTCCTGAGTTTTTTGTTTTAGTACTCAACATGTTAAATGTAGCCTGACCTGCATTCTATCAACCAGTTGAAAAGCCTAAAACTGGTGGCAACAACTTTAAAGGTGGAGCAACAGCTCCCAAGTCACTCTGCAGATTACCACAGTGCCCAAGAATGCTCGGTCTGGGTGGAGGCAGTGCAGCAATGCAGAGATAATGCCTTCAGCAGACTAGGTTTGCCTAACAGGCCTTGTTTTCAGTAGCTTATAGCTCTGCTAAACTTTAACTGTTTGGGCTGATGTTTTCCAGCCATGATGTCCATGTTGTGCACTTTGGGGAAAGGTTTAGCTTATAGTAGTTCATCCTCGTTTTGCCTGAGCTTGAAAATATTCTTGGAGGTGTTCTCATGAGAAGCAGTGGTTATCATACATAGCTGTGTGCATAGTGTAGCCTTAAGTTATTAACAATGATGCAGTTTTGACAGTTGACAGCTAAATAATAGGGTAAGTTTTTACAGGGGGAAGCAATTTTAGTGGAAAGCCACCAGTCTTTTGCTTCATTTTGTCTTTGGAAAAACAACATTATACTGTGGTTCTTTTTAGCTGGTTACTCTTTTACCCGTCTCTGTGTGAGGCCATTTAGTGTTGGCCATTCCCTCAGCTTTATTGAAAAAG